CTCGACGATCCCCTGGGCTGGTGCCACGGGCAAGTACGGCTCGTGGGAAAAGCGGGAATGCCCCGGGTCGGATACGGCATTAGCTTCACCGTCGCGGTGAACCGGTTTTGGGGGTTGGTTTGTCGGGGGTCTTTATTTTATCGGGGGCTTGGGGTTATTTTATTATTATATTATTTTTTTTTTTTGGTCCGGGCCATTATTCTTTATTTCCCCCCAGGCTGTAGTATCCAGTAAACTCTTCCTTATTTTCAAAAGGTAACAAGAAGAATGACAATCTAAACAGCACCCTCCTTTGTGCTTCTATAAATATGTTTCTGATCTAATTTTATTTCTTGTGCTCATCTGTACTGTTGACAGTTACAATTGTGTATAGTTTTTTGGTTTTGTTTTGGTTTTTTTTTTTAATTTGGAATTTTTGCGTTGTATAGGGTTTAGTTTTAAAATATATATATGTTTTCCATTTTTTAAAAAGGGGTGTTGCAAAAAAAAAAAAGTTGCACGATTTAAATGACAATAGTTAAAATGCTGCAGTTTTTAGAGATGTGGAAGCAAAATGGAGCTTATTTATTCTCAAAGGCTATAAAGGTGTACAATGCATGAAGAAAAAAAAAACATTTACAAAAAAAAAAAAAAAGACAAAAAAAGTGTAACCTGAACAAAGTGTAGCGTTAAAAATTTTAAAGGATGACGACGACAAGAAAAAAAAACAACAAAAAAAAACACAAAAAAAACCCAAAAAAACAGCTAATATATTGTGTTTGGGCTAGTTTGCTTTTGTTTTTAATTGTTCCTTTTTTGGAGAATGAAATACAATTGTGTATATTTTCATATAAGAAGTATGCACTGATATGTTTCAAAAATGATATATTACTTTCTAAAAGTGTGGTTACTTACCAAAGTCTGTTTCTGATCTTTACCTTCTTGAAATCTCTGTGGATCCCTCGAACACGCGCACGCCGGGGCTCGACGCCGCGGGCCGGATCCAGAGGTAAGCCGGGGTGGTTCGCACTCCGGGGCCGGCC